AGGGCTTTGTTTGACCAGGGTTAGAGTTAGGCAGGTCTTTGTATAACGAGGGTTAGAGTTAGACAGGTCTTTGTATAACGAGGGTTAGAGTTAGACAGGTCTTTGTATAACCAGGGTTAGAGTTAGACAGGCCTTTGTTTGACCAGGGTTAGAGTTAGGCAGGTCTTTGTATAACGAGGGTTACATACAAGAATGTTCTTTCTTCAGTCAAGACGCTGAGACTATTCGAAATTTGACAAACACACAGAAACATGAATGCGGCTCACAGCTAATAAATTCTTAAAACACACAAAAATCTTTACAAACACTTTCTTTGGAGGCTGATACACCACAACTGGCAACCCCTGTTATTTGGCAGCGCTTCCCCTTCACTTCAGCTCAACAGTGTGACACCATCTGTCCACTGGGTGCTGTTTATTTGGTGCTGCTTGACTTCAGCTTGAGAGGAATTCACTTTAGCACTCCTCAGGTGGTCCACACAGTGTTTTAAAGGACTTCCCATGAATTGTGGCAGTAAGCCAGAACAATATTATCAAGAGAGAGGGGAAAAGGAGTGAAAGTTGTGTCAGTGTATATCTCCAGAGCTGATAGCTGTCTTCCTCAGGTGTGACAGCAGAGTCAGAACAGTACTTAGCACCTGTGGGTCAGGTGGCGTTAGACTCAGACAACCCTTCCTCTGGATCAGGATCAGGTGCTTTCCTTGGGGATAAGTGATGTGGAAACCCTGACACCCACCTTGACCCTTTGGAAAATGTTTATGTGTGTGTTGCCACCAGAAAAGAGGCATCTACTGGGTGAGACTGATGCATGCCGATCCGTTGCCAGGTCATGCTCAGCGGCGGCACAGCGGTGTCAGGTGAAATTAGCAGCCATCAATGAAACCCTTTCAGACTGAGGGAATTCATTAGGGACAATGTTCCGCATTCAAACACACTTACACCCACAAACATGAACCACATACATAGAAGTCACATTTTTTTTGTGATTTGAATAATGACTCCAAGCTAAAAGTCCCATATAGTCAAAGAATATACCTGTGCAAGTGTGGGACACTTCAGGATTAATTAATTAATTAATTAGATAGATGGATGGATGGATAGATCGATGAGATTATTAATCCCAGGAGGGAAATTGGAGAAAAGCTTGTGCCACCTGGTATTCCCAGGCAGTCTCCTAACCAAGTACTAACCAGGCCCGACCCTGCATAGCATCCATGATCTGATAAGATCAGGCAAGTTCAGGGTGCTATGGCCGTAAACAATTATTATTCTGCAACTACCACAGAAGCTACGAAAAATCCTTCACACCAGTGTCGTCTTTTACTGTCTTACAAGCTTGATCCATCCATCCGTCCATCCATCCATCCATCCGTCCATCCATCCATCCATCCATCCATCCATCCATCCATCCATCCATCCATCTTATTTAACCACTTCTTCCATTCCAAGTCAACAGGCTTGGATTTAGATACACGAGTGGATTTTTTTTCTAATTGTCTCAGCCATATTTCTTGTTTGTTCATACCTTAAAAATAACTCACTTTTAAACCAGAGGTCCCCAAATGGTTTTGCATCATGAACTGCTTCATACAAGTCGACTTTCTCAGAGGTTAGTGAAGAGAATTAAGTTCTTGGGCAAAGTTTGCTTTCCAGTCATCTGTGCTTGGGTTGGCTTGTTGGTTTGCTAGTATGTTCAAAATAAAAGCGACTGAATCAAGAGGAGGAAAGAGGCACATACCAAAGTGTTGACTATCCAAAATAAAATACTTATAGACCAATGCACTGTGGATAAACATACTTATATAATTTGTTTAGTATTTTTGAGTTGCCCAGTACCGAATGATCTATGGGCCAGCGTTTGGAGATCCATGCTTTGATCTTATGCTCTTACAAGAAAACTCTTAAACCTTTTCCACATCAGAGATATTACATTTTGAGTTTTAGGAACGTTGAAGTCCTGCCTTATTTCAGATCCAATCCATCTTCAGAGGTTTTTATAGTTTAGAGGTATACATTAGTGAAGCTGAGAGGTAACGGCAGAGAAAAAAATGTGAAACACAAAGTATTTTACCAACAAACCACTTTAGACTAATACAAATTTTGGAAACATACAATCTCACCTGGGCAGCACGGTGGCGCAACTGGTAGAGCTGCTGCCTCTCAGCGAGCAGGTCCCTGGTTCAAACCCCGGTCCAGGGGCCTTTCTGGGTGGAGTTTGCATGTTCTCTCCGTGCATGCGTGGGTTTTCTCCGGGTACTCAGGTTTCCTCCCACAGTCCAAAAAACATGCATGTTAGGCTGATTGGTAACTCTAAATTGTCCCTAGGTGTGAGTGAGAGAGTGAATGGTTGTTTGTCTCGTTTGTCTCTGTGTGTCCCTGTGATGGACTTGCGACCCGTCCAGGGTGTACCCCGCCCCTCGCACAGTGATTGCTGGACATGGGCACCAGCGACCCCCGTGACCCAAAATGGAATAAGCGGGTAAAGAAAATGGATGGATGGATGGACAATCTCACCTTTTTTTTTTCTCAGAAACAGATCAAATCAGCATTCCTCTTACATCTGTCTGTTAAACCTAATCCTTACGGCAGCAGGTGTTTTGCCTTTTTGAGAAGCTGTTCTGGTTTTTGTCACAAAAAACAAACATCTGCCACTAACATTTTGTATTGGCTTTCGAGTACAACCATACGAGCGGTTTCTACTAACTGCAGGTGAAGTGTTTCTTGGCTGTGGCTTTCGAATAACGAA